TCCTTTTATGCTAAGTTTTGTATCCCAGGTATACGCCCCTCCATAAACACATACCAATAATCAGGGTAGTGCCAATTTCCCTAGAACACAGATACATTTCCTCCACACAGCAACAGTTGTTTGTAGCGCTTGTGTGTGTCTTTGCTTTTTAAAAATGAAGAGGTGGGAGAGAGAGGAAAACTAAGGCTGTTCCCAGGCTATAGGGGCCCAGAGAATGAGCTCCCTGGGGGTATGGCCTCTCTTTTGATGCCAGCAGAAAAAGGGAAATAGGTCACGGCAGCAGCCTGAGTCTTCAGCTGGGGCTGTCCAGCATGAAGATGTCATTTTTCAGGCAGCAGCAAAGGAGTTTCTGAGGTCTCAAAGAGGACAAAGGGGTCAGTGAGAAAGGGCTTGGAAATGATCACCAAAGTCTTATAGATGCCCCCTGCCATCTGCCAGGAACTGTGCCTCCTAATGTGGGGAGCTGGGAAGAAAGCTAGAGTGTACCACAGCCCCTTCTCCAGCATCCAGGTTTCCCCAAGCACAGCAGCCATCAGAAGGCTGCGCATGCAGCAATCGCTCAGTAAGTGTGTGCCAGCTAGATGGCTTTCTAAAAGATTATGTTGAAGAGATTCCAAATGACAGCTGGGCACCTGAAAGCCCAGGTACGCTGGAGGCTGAGGCAGGAGGATTGCTAGTGTAAGCCTAGACTGGATAACTTAGCAAAGACTGCTTTAAAATAAAAAAAGTGAGGATGTGGCTCAGTGTTAGTGTTCCCTGTCTTCAATCCCCAGAACTGCAAAACAGAAAAATTGGAGAAGGGAGGGGAGAGAGTAAAAGCAATCTCAAATGGCCATTGTATTTGTGACAAGGGCCTCATAAGGGAGAGGGTGGTTGGATTCCTAGATCAAATGTTGAGACAGAGATATCAACGCAGAAAAGAGATGGATGCCCAAGACCACAGGATAACTGAAAACCTAGGAGTTTGCACTTGTAAGCCAGTTATCTATCTGTTAACTAATGTTATCTCTCATCATAACTCTGGGGAAAATGTTAGCAATAGGCACAATTCCCCATCTGGGAAATTATACCACATCTTCCTGTCCTTGGCAGTGTGGCAAGAAAATGCCTTAAAAAGGCAGCTGTATGGGGTTGGGGGAGGGTGTCACCAAGCACATGCCATCCAACAGGGCACAGCACTCACAGCTCCCAGTCAGTTACAGCAACTGATGCAATCATCTCACACTGTCCAGTTTGGAAGTGGCCCAGACTCTGTGGCATGGGACAGGAGAGTCCGCCCACATTTTTATGGCTACTGTAAGCCACCAAAACCCAATTCAGCATTCCTTACACCACAGAGCTGTAAGCAAACTTCTGGTAAATATTTTGTGCTTTGAGGGCATAACTGCTCAACTCCTGAATTGTGTTCAGAGTGTGAAAGCAGCCATAGACAACACAAGGAAGTAACATTACTGTGTTTCAACAAAACATGGCAAAAACTGGCAGGTGCTACATTTGCCTACTCCTGCCACACACCAATTGAGTCAGGCTGGGAAGAAATGATGTCCTCCTTAGGTGTGAGAAAGGTAAGTCCTGAGTCCTTGGGGAGTTCCTTGGCTGCTCCAGGCTTCAATGTCACAAAGAGAACCAGGCAATGATATGGTGTCTACCCCCTTATTCTTCCTGCCCTGAGACTGGCAGGAGAACACCCCAAACACTGACCTGGAGCTGGCACCCAGACTTCTGACTCAGGGAGAAGAACAAAGCCAACAGGAGTGAATGGCTGGGGAAAAGCACCATGCAGAAGATGGAGAAAAGGAAACGCCAAGGAGAGGTAGCAGGAGAGCCTCAGAAAAGGAGGACTGAGTGGTCGCTACAGGCTTCGTAAGCTCTGTACTGACTAATAACACAAATGTGAGGAAAGCAGGGTAACAAGGTCTTGAAATGAGAGGAGTCATCTAAAAACACAGACCACCAAAGACTTGTCGGACACTCGCGGGCTCTGTATAATGCAGAATAGAAATACTTCAATTCTCTCCCTCCTCAAACTAGGTGAAGAGATGGCAGGGACTCCTTCACCACTCCCTTAAAGCCAGGACAACACACTTAGTAAACATGGTACAATTTCCCAATGCAACCAGCTGGCTTCTTGTCTCTTTCCTGATGGGGTCTGGCCTGGGGCAGTGACCATTACCCAGACTCTCCCTTGATCAAGAGCCTGCGCAAGTCAGGTTGTGCGCTCACATGTGCGAGCTCAGCTCCATGAGCAGGCCTCTGTGGGACTGCAGAGAGGCCTGGGAGAGTTCTCAACTCTGTGGGCTTCTTTCCTACCACAGTGCAGATTGACAGTAACTGTAAAGGGTAAATTATTGCCAAAAATAAGGTAATATTGTGGACAAATATTTAAAAATGTAAAAAAAGGATGGGGAGGGGCCAAGGATAATCACATCTTAAAAATACCTGGTCAGATGTAATTATCAAGGAAATAAGTACAAGGTACATGTGCACGCATGTGCGTACACACACACACACACACACACACACCAAACCAAAACAACAACAGTAACAGCAGCAGCAGAAGCAGCAACAAAAGTTCACCTGCAGCCATCCCAGCAGCCACTTGACTTCAGAGCCCAGCAGAGGCTGCCCTGCAGGTAAGGAACGGGAAGGAGTGATCACCTCCACGTGGTACAGCCCTGGCTTTTAGGTGGGAAGAATCCTGGTTGGGGGCGGGGGGAGGCAAAGGACACTGTTCCCCCAAACAACTTAAAAATGAAGGTGATGGTACTACACAGGTAAAAGCAATGAATAAAGCTCTTACCAAAGAAAATGCTCCTTTTATTCTGACTCTAATCAGAGAACAGTTTTCATATATCAAAGGAAGGGAAATGCCCAGGAGAGAAAACTGCAACTGGTTTCTTCAGTCAACATCTTGAATTATTTGTAGTTTAGGTCATACTCATGGTTCCTCTGGATTAGAATAATGACCTTCAAAACAGCCTCATCAGGTTATTATATTGTGACCCTCAACACTGGGTTATGAAAAACTGGGATCTCTAAAATCAAGAAAGATAAATATCAACTTTGGATCTACAAACTCATGCCAGGGCATCAAAGAAGGTGGGGAAAACTTCAACTTTTTCACCAGTAAATATTTATAGATACATACACAAAGGTAAGGGTCACAATAACTATGAGACAGTAAAAACACTGGCCCACTTGCCCTCATTAGTGGTTAGTATTCTCTCTGACTCCCGTGTACTTTGGGTTACAGGGATATGTGGGACAGAGATATGACTAGGAAGAAAAGTGGCTGGGGAAACAAGAACTGCAAAACAAAATAAAGAAACTTCAGGACTTGTCAAATAATAGGAAGATGGCTCTGATGCAAAACTTTGTTTAAATAGTAAGAGAGAAGAATTCCTCCAACAAACATCTTAGGCAATCCAGGGAAGGGAGGGCCTTCAATCTAAAGTGTAAGAAATAAAAATCTGTTGTTTTTCCCTCTGTAATGTCTGTAAGTCATGAGCTTCAGGGGACTGACCTACTTTTTTCAACCATACTCTAGTGTACTAACTAAAGGCCGAAGAAGTCAGAGGGAAATGCTACAATATTTGCTCCTTCCACTTAATTACTGGGCCACTTCAAAAACTGCAACAGGTGCTGACAGACAGCTACAGTGGATTCTTGAAACACTTCTCTAGTAGGGAGCTACTGTTAACTGATAAAAATTCTAGTTACATTATATAGTGGCATAATGCCAAGGAAAGTAGGCATGTTACTACTAAGGATTTGAACTTCACAAATATAAATGCTTCTCACCAAAAAGAAAATAGAATTGCGAATCTGATGATACAATTAAGCCCCACACTTCTCCAAGCACTGCACAGATGGCCAACAAGGCACATGCAATAATATCCAGGTAGCTGCAGTTGGTGTGTGGGAAATGGAACTCAGATCTCTTGAACTGAGAATTCAGGATTTATTTTGCCAAATGCATTTGTTTCACAAAACGAGAAGGCAAGTGATAAAGAAATCTCCAAAAAGTGCCAACCAACAGTCAGAACGCCGCTTAGTGGGACGCCAAAGTGATGATTCCTTCAAAGCCAGGGTTGCCCTGAGACAGTGTGTCGGGCTCATCTGTCTTCCCAGACCTCTCACACTTAATGTGTCTGCTGGCGCTTCAACTCAAAATGACATGCTCAAGTTCCTACATAGGTATGTGTATTGCTGAGCATCCTAAAATCCCCACACATCTTCTCTCAAGGGTCACAAAGACCCAGGAGAAAGAACCTCTAGGACTGCAGCTCTGTGGCTATCATGATACTGATGAAAGCTGGAGGGATCCTGACAGACTTGAATGTAACAGAAGCAGGGACAAAGGCAGATCCTGGACCCTAAGCCCCAACCTAACATACTGCCTCACTGTTTTTTTTTCCCCCCTTGAGTCCACCCAGCAGGATGAATTGCTGGCACAGTCCTTTTTTTTTTTTTTTTTAAAAAAAAAAAGATGGTTCTGTTGACAAAGACTTGAGCAAAATTAGCAGGTAGAAGGGTACCACAGCAGCCAAGAGCCTAGTTCTTGCCTGGAGGGGCCAGCCCAACAGGCAGAAACAGAAATACAATTAAATTAAGTCAGAAAACCTGCTACAGAAAATGCAATTACTCAAAGATACAAATAAATGTTCAAAGAAAATTGGCCCCTGACAGGGTTAGTCAAGCTTCTAAATCCAGCTGGAGGCAGCAGCTCAGGCTAATTCACCAAGGAGGAGGACTGCAGAGCCGTGAGCCCTCTGCATTAGGATCCCGACACATCCCAAACCACCAGTGGAGCAGCAACTGGGGGCAGCTGGCCAGTGATGCAGGGAACAAAGAAGTAGACATGAGAGTGGCTCATGGCTGCTCAAGGCTGAGCAGTGGAAAAGGAGACAGATGGCCTCTGATACGGCAGAGAAGGGTCAGACCCAGGGAGCTCTGCTGTCTTGCCGTTTCCATCCATGAAGCACCAGGAGAATCCCTACCTCTCGTTGCAGCACCAGTTCCTTGGTGAAGAGCGTGGCTTCCTCGCTGAATGGCTCTCCTTCCTGCACCAAGCCTGGGAGGTTTCGGGCTCCTCTAGGGCATTCGATGCCTGTGTCAGGAAGAAAAGAAAATCTGTGATGAAAATGGGCCCCGCAGGTTTGCTGCTGGCCACCAAGTGTGGTAATGGCACTTCCAGTGGATCAGGTGATGGATCTAAGTTTCATCTTAGGAGATGGAGGTACAGGTGGGGGATAAGAGGAAGTGGGCGGGGCACTCACTGTCTGAGCAGCGATGACACAGTGTGGAAGGGCTCTGTCCCAGCATGGAAGAATCACCAAGGGCCCCTGGCAGATGGAGCATTTGGAAGAAGTGTGCACACAATAGGACGAACCCTGACTTTGATTTCCTCACTCTGTACAGACTCACAACCTCATTCATGTGGCCCTCATGTCAATAGCTCTGTCAACAGAAGGGACACTGCCACCTCAGCCATTGTGCCTCCCAAGAGCCACTGCAGCTGATTCTGAGACCTTTTCTCCTTACTATATGACTTGCACAGCAAATTTTGAGGTGTTTCGTGTCATTTTTTTCTTCCTCAAATAAACTTTCCCTCTGTCCTTTGGATAGATTTTGGACACTATACCATCTGTTTTTCATTCACAGAAAAGAAAGAAAGAAAAAAAAAAAAAACCACCAAAATCCTTATGAATCATTAGGTCTGTGGACCTAGAGACCTGGCCTTACATCTTTCTTCTTCTTTTTTTTTTAAAACTGAGGACTGAAACTAGGGCTTTTGCACTGAGCTGCTTCCCCAGTGCTTTTTTATTTTGAAACAGGGTCTTCCTGCACTGCTAAGTTGCCTAGGCTGGGTTTGATCCTGTGACCCTCCTGCTTCACATTACCAGAGTGCTGGGATTACAGTCATGTGCCACTGTGCCAAATTTCACATCATAATCCCATCACTTTTTAGCTTTGTGACTGGCTAAATTCCTGAAGAAAATCTAAGCTTCCCTATTTGTAAAACAGACATAACTATACATCTACTTTGTAAGGTTGCTGTGTAACTAGGAGCTAATAGATTATGTACATAAAATACTTAGAATTCATCAAATGGAAAGATTCAATGTATTTCAGCTATTATTAACCTCATCTTTACCATCATTGTTACCCTTAGCAATTCCTAGACTCAAATATCTCCAATTCTTCTTTGACTACAACTTGTTTCTAAGATCCCTGTGGACATGCACCTATCCTTTACACTTGTTTGTATCCAGAGATAATATAATAATTGTATGAAACAATTACTCGCTGACTCAGACTGCCTTTTTTTGATTTAATCACTCATTTCAAAAATACATTTATCACTAACAGTGGTCGTCTGTGACAGACCATGAAATACATTGCATTTTGATATCTGGGTAAGACTTATAAATATTTCAAAGTAATTCATACTGCAGCTGTAATTATGAAGTGAAACAGTGAACTGGGCTAGACACAGAAAAAGAATATGAAGAAAACTAGGAAAGGATGTATTTAGTGCTTATACTTCTGACTCACTGGTGGTCTCTCCTGCTGCAACAACCTCATTCATGAATACAATCCCCAGCAAAGGGAGAAGAGCATTGACCTGTGAAGAGAGGTCCCAGTGCTGCTGAGACAGAAAGGCCATCTCTTCCTGGGTAAAACAAGGGGGCTGCTCATGTTTCTGGCCAGGGTATAGCCCTATGAAGAATGGGAATTACCTACATCTTGAGTCCTTAGCAGACAAAGAATAGCTTTGTCTCTAAGACTCCAGGTCTCACCAGAGGAATGGACCATTCGAAATGATATGATCAATGGGGAGGAAACTGCAAGGTGGAGGAGCTTAAACTGACAGCGACAGCTCTCTTCCCATCCTTGCATGGACAGCTGAAGGCCCTTCTCAAGTCTGTGCTGTTGAGAAGACACAAGGGCTGCTTCATCCTTAACCCTTCAGTACGCTGCAGTGGGAGTGGAACTTCTTTTTATAAAAGACAGCCAGTAACTTAGGAGAGCCAGAGTCTGAGATTAGCCCTGGAGGGACAGCTGAGGCTGGAGTAAGATGGAATGAAAGATTGTCTGCGTTTCCTCACAACATCAATAGCCAAAACCACTTTTCATTTCATATCTGCAAACTAAGCAAGAGCAGAATTGCCAGAGAGAAAAATAAACGATGCTGTTGAACTATTTTGCCACATACTCACAGATAAAGCATTGATGGAGAAACAAGAACAATGCAAAAGTAAGTGTTCAGTCTGCTTCTGATCCTTTCATCAGAGCTGGGGTGTGGTGGGTGGGGCTGCTGTGCACTGGGGGCTAGACATGGGATCAGTTTCCTGGGAGGGTATCCAGGGTTTTGGAACTTCCTTGGTTGAGTAGGAGTCTGCCACTTTTGTGGTATTTTGAAATAGCAAGAAGCTGGTCAAGCTGCAGAGACCAGCTCTGGATCCTGGAGACCTCCTGGTGACTAAGTTGGAAACCCTGACAACTCAACATGCCTATGGAGTTAAACATATCAAGCAGAAATACATTGAAAACATTTTCAAAAGCGGGTCCTTCAGTCCCATGGCAACCAAACCCAACACTCTGCAGATGAAAAGGGGAGGAGGGCCTTTGTTATGTTGCTTCTCCACTTCCCTGAAGCTGGGCTCCAGCCTGTCATGAGGAAGACTGAATCAGGCTGTTTTTCTACCTTTTTAAAGTGGAAATAAGTGAACATCCATTCATAGTGATTTCTGTCAGGCATGTGGGCAAGAGAGACAAAAGAAATTCCTCTTTGGCCTGTCTCCTCTGAGGTCATCTCTTGCTAAGGGGGGGGGGGGGGGGGAATACCAAACGGACTGGAAAACACAATGGAGAGGGTGGTGGGGAAGGCAGACCTTTCATGGGACTAACATTCAAAGTCACAGCCAAGAGAACAGGAAGGACTTTATCACATCTGAATGTCTGAGGTTCAGAAATGTGCTAAGCTGCATTCCATCTGCAGATGAAGGACAGTGTAGTGAGGCAGGACAACTGCCAAGGTCAGTTTCTGCCAACTAAGTGAGACCTTCTCATGAAGAAAAATAATAATGGGCTAGGGATATAGCTCAATAGTGGAGCACTCTTGGCTTCGATTCCTAATGCTCTATATGAGTATAGAGGGGCATTTTTTGCACCTAATTTTTACTATGACCCAAGTATACATTTACATATGAGCATATATAACTATATACAATAAAGTTTCTGGTTAAGCTGTGATTAATCTTGACCTAATTTGTCATGATAACGGTGTGTCTTCTGCTCCATTTCATTAAAGAAAATAACCAAGATGGCCATGGCACTGAACTCATTCAGGACCCCAGTAGGACACAGTGCCCAGGCTGAGAAACTCTGGCAGAGACTGTAGTATAAAGACAGAGGACAGGAAAGATGCAAATGGACCCTTGGGCTTTAATGCAGAGTTCAAAAGCTACTCCACGTTTATCAGGCTCTTGCTTTGCTCTTGTCCTGAAAGACTAAGAAACCGGGCAGGCAGCCCTGGCCAATGACACAGAGATCGTACATATGTTAATCCCCTAATGCTAGAAGGCAGTCATGGTGGCTGCATGCTAGGTGAACATGCAGCTCAGCAAGAAGAGCTTGCAGCCCCCTCTCCCCAGGGCTCAGTGAGCAAAGGAACCCAGGGCCAGATACATCTGCACTCAACAAGGCCTGCAATGCTGGCTGCTTGCTCACCAGTAAAAGAGTTCACCAAAAAGAGAGAGAAAACAGAGACGAACAATTGGGTTTTCAGAAAGCAACGAGGGGGTGCTGCACTGGCCAGGGCAGGCTGACAGGCAGTAATGGGGAGCTCTCAAGCCATGGAGTATTTGGAACCAAAGTAAAAAGTGAGCTATCACTGGAGTTCCAGCAGCTTGCAGCAGCTAGGTGACGAAGTGCCTGTAATTCTGGCTCCTGCATAGTACCACTAGCAGCTGTCTTTGCCGATAATGCCCTAGCCTGGTGTGCCTGTTGATAAGGATGCTTCCAACAAGTGGATAAGGGCCAGGTTCACCCTTGACACTGGGGAGCCACTGAAGAAACAAAAATACTTTAATTGAAAAAAATGTCACACTAAGAAAATATGTATCTTCAGCATTCCTGATCATTTTCCCCCTAGTATGGGCTATGCCACACTGGAGAAACCCTGTGGACCTTCTTAGCCCACAAGGGCAGACATAGGCACTCCCTCCCTCCAGCCATAGCAGGCTCTATGGCTTTGTTAAAACCCTATTGGCTCATTTGATTATAGGTAAAAGGTTAGTAATTTTCATACTTCTTTTAGGCTTCCCAGCATTTTAACAGCTAACTTTAAATTAAAGCTCAATAGTTGTATGGCTGAAGAAGAGAAACTTCACTACTAGCTGTCAGCACCTCATGCTTCTGGTTTTTGCTCTGCTACTGACAAAATATTAAACTTCTGCAAGCTTACAATCTTTGTCTATAAAATGAAGGACCTGCTAAGGCTTACTTGCCTATAAAATCCTACAATTTTGGTTATGCCCCTTTCAGATTCCTAACCCAAGGGTTGATTTGTGGGATGGAGTGTGCCTCCTTTCAGACTTAAAATGCTGGGCTCTGGAGTGATCATTCTATTAAAAAAAATTATACTCTTAGAGACACTGACTAACTAGGTCAATTAACACAAACACTTAGGTCAGTCTGCTTTGGAACAAGAAGAACAAATTCTTGTTAATGACACGGTAATGGCTATATAAGAGATTTTATTGATGGCTATGTGAAGGTTATGTATTGCTCTGAATATTTTACACTGTATGTTGAATTTTATGATAATTAAGCCTCAGAACTCAGTGTGTGTGCTTTTCTTTCTCTATCAGGCAGTGGGAGCTAAGGGAAAGGATGGCACATCTGTCTGGGCTAGAAGTGAGCAGCCCAGTGGCACTTAGTCCAGCAAACAAGCAGTCAGGCCTTAGCAGAAGGAAATAAAACTTGAAGAAACAAAGAAACAATCTAAAGGATCAGCCAGTGGCGCTTGCTTCAAGTCCACTGTGTTGGTCCTGCTGCATCAGACATCATGGAGGGAGGGACACAGGAGGCATGCAACAGGAC